GCGCTCTGGGATGATGAGGTGCAGAGCTAATCTTAAGAAATGGGGTTACAAAGTGGGCCCCGCAACATGCGATTGTGGAGAAAAGCAAACCAAATACCACTTACTACAATGCAATCTGAGCCCGGCTATATGCACAATTGAGGACCTTTTCACAGAGACATCACATGCACTCCAATTGGCCAGCTTCTGGTTAAAGGATCTTTAGCATAATGCCAAGTTTCCAACTTTATTTGTGGTTTTTTATACGTTATAACTGTATTTTCAATTTGCTTCTGACCTGATAAATAAATAAAGAAATAAATAAGCTCCCTCCTCAGCCAATGTTTTCATCTCATCTTTGTGAAATTCAGCAGAAGTAATGGAGTGCTGGAATATATAGATAGGGCAAGGCAAGCTGCACTTGAGCAGAGACTGAAGTAAGGCAGAAGGAAAGCCTCTTGAATCAATGTAAGAGATGTGTTCAGTTCAATTAGATATTCAGGTGTCATTTCATATTTGTGGGTTCACAGATTTGATTACTCACAGAATTCTGCTTTTGAAAAAAAGTTCTTTATGGGGACTTCTATTTCCTCAACCTCCACCAGACTTTGACTACAGAATCATAGTAGAGGACCTGGAAAATGCCTAAATAATTTTATAGGGGAAAAGTAATGTTCATAATTTGTATTTCCACTTTCTGCAGAGTTCCCATGAAAGTTGTATATTCTTCAGTGCTGCAAGGGAGGTAATTCATCTTGCTATCAGTGGCCCAACGTACAAGTGGTGATGGGTACCAACCACCATAGTGAGCAAGTTAAACTGCAGTGAGATCTACTGCAAATTCTGCAATACAGAGAAGTCCTTTTCAGAAGATGCCAATGCTGCTCCACTTCAGGTAGGAAAATATCCCACACCAGTCCTTGTAACTCATTACCTTCCTCTGGAGACAATTTAATTGTGAGGCCAAGAAACACCATCCACCACCAGAGAAGACATTTGTCTAATATTAATTAACTCTTGAGTTGAGCAGAAATAATTGTGTTTGAGCAGGATTGAAGATTCTCGCTCACTGGAGCAGTTGGGGAAATAATTCACCTCTGAGAATTTCAAGCAATTATTTTCCCATTTAGATTGACTCAGTTTTGAGTTTTTAAATAACACTGTTATATTGTCAATAAGGTTTAATTGTTTCTTGATAAACAATAAAGGAATATCTATAAACACAACTATGCCCAGGAGCTGCTTTGGGCTTTTTTTTTTTCAAATGTAAGGACACATACTATTCCTGATTGGAAAAAAAAACTAACTCATCATGCATGTTTCCTTTTTAAAACTATGACAAAATGTTTGTTGAAGGCCAGTCAACTTCTCTATGTTTTCTTACTTCTACAATGAAATAATAGTGTGGCCTAAACTCAACTGTTAATCCCAAATGTAGGACACCTATTGAATGAATAGGAACTTGGATTTGGATGGGAATATTTTAATAAATCAAACACAGAAATAGTCCTTAGAATGTACTCTTTAACTATCACTATTCATTTTTCCACATAATCACCAGACAATTGGATACATTTCTGCCAACCATGAACAAGTTTTCTGAAGCCGTCACGGAAGAAGTTGATACTCTGTTTCCGCAACCAGCATTTCACAGTTCTCTCAACATCTTCATCAGAAGCCTAATAATGTCCTCGTAGATCTTCTTTCATTATCGGGAACAGATGGAAGTCAGATGGTGCTAAACTTGTACTGTATGGAGGATGTCATACAGTGGTGAGATCCAGTCTCTGAAGTTTCAAATCTGTGCATTTACATTTCAGGCGTTAGCATCCTGGGTACCCATTGTGCACAGATCTTCCGATAGCCAAGCAAAGCAATAATGTGACCCACATGTTCTTGTGAAATGCTGATTATGCTTGAAATTTCTCTCTGAGTGATACGACCATCGTCCTGAATCAATCTGTCAGCCTTTTGCTTGTGAAACTCAGTGGTTGCTGTCACAGGACGTCCAACTCTTTGTTTCTCACGCAAGTCAGATGTTCTTGCCTCAACATCTTTAAATTTATTCACCCAATGACGCACAGTACTCACATCAACACAATCACCATAAACAGCTTGCATTCTCTGATGAATCTCCTTTGGGGTGACACCTTCTGCTGTCAAGAATTCAATGATTGCACGTTGCTTAAGTCTCATTGACCGACCGTCTGCGCAGGATTCCATACTTCTCACTTTAACAATGCAACCATTCAATGTTAAGGCTTCCTGCCAAAATGGGACTGTAGAGGAGAGTCTACTGAACAAGCCGGTACCTGCTGCATATCAGTACTGCCATCTGTGGAGGAGTTACGAAGGTGGAGGCATTACTTTTCACTCAACCCTCGTATAATTACGACATTTCATTTGCAGCATATGCTTGACTTACATTTTCAAGATTGTGAAGAATACCGGAAGAAGCTGAGAAAAGCATTGCTCCTAGAGCTTGGAATTAATTTGCTAAATATTAATTTGTTAGTTTACAATCCAGGATAAATTTTTTTACCAAAGCCTTTAAAACCCATGATTTCAATCATTGTATTGTCAACAATATTAATGGTTTGAGTAACAACTCATGCTTCACATTAATTTATTGTTTTGGGGTATTATGGGTATTATTGGAAGGGGGGGATAGCAGCCATTTATCCAACCAGTGTTGCCTAGTTAATCTGCTGGGACAGATTCTTGTTCTTCCTGGTGCAGGGAGTGTGATAATATATAGTTGCATTTCTCAGTGAAAAAGAAAATTTTATTTGACTTTCAGTGCTGTGAGATGAAATTGTTGTGATGAAGGTAATTTAGAGCAGGCTTCTTTTTAACTTTTTTCACTCTTGACCTCTTTCCACCTGAGAAGTTTTTGTGTGATTCTAGAACAGGTATAAAACAGGTATAAAAATAGAACATTTACTGAAAATAAATCAGCATTTGCAAGGCTTGCTAAACAGGCTTGTTTTCCCTTTTGTGCAGCATAGTTGAAGCATTTTCTGTAGAGTCCACTTTATCACACGAGGTGAATTTAATGTCCTAACACGCTGCCAGACACTTCCTCCTCAAAGGCCCACGCTGCTCATCACACAATGTACAATGACTTCCAATGGGTGTTGTGACTCAGCTGGAACCACAGACACAGACTGTTGTGACTCAGATGGGGTCTCAGAGTGACTCTGACGAGGATGATGGGATTCAGGTTCACAATCAGGTTCAAAATGTTCCTGTTGTAGACAATGAGGAACAGGGTGTGCAAGTTCAGTTTCCCACAACAGAGAATGATGTTTTTGATACTGAAATCAGCCAAATGCAAATTGACTCAGAAAAGGAGGACAGTTCTCAGCTTGATAGTAAGCAAGAAGGCAACCAGGCTGATACTAATGAGCTGCCTGACCTTAATGAAATAGGAATCTTAGATCAGGCTGACCATTTGGAATTCAGAATTCGAAGGAGTGTGAGAATAGCTAACAAGAAGGAGGTTAGAGGCCAAAGAAATGCTTTCATGTATTGCAAAGGGTATTAAGCAGTGTGTTTGGAAACAAACCTTTGTCAGAGCAACTTCTCATTCAACCAAGCAGCTTGTGTTCGTTTGCCTGGATTATCTTGTAGTTCCTGTGTCCATGGTCTTGGGACTTTGTCATGTTCTCATGAGATTTTGTTTTGTTGGTGCCTCTTGGAATCCTGCTTTACAGTGCTATGTTTTATTGATCTTGTGGAACATTACTTTTAAGAACTTTTTATCTTTTACTTTTCAATAAACTACAAAGACTTCAGTCCATGTGCAGTTTGGTGATTTCAGCAAGGTGAATCTATTCTGAGGTGCGACAATGGGGCTCTATGGAGGAAGCATCCTGGCAGCATGACAGGACACTTTTCTCAGAACATGGGAGACTTCCTGTGTTCCATAGACAAGCATGGGGCCAGTGTGAGAGGAAGCTGCACTGCAACACTTCCCCACATGGGATGGGGATGTGGCAGCTGTGGGTGAGGCATGATGCTGGGATAGCTCTGCTGCCCCACTGATTTGCCTTGGAGGGTGATGAATTGCCCCAAGATACCTCATCCATGTGATGAAGTCCTTAAGCACTGCATGTTGTTACTAACCGATTTGTGTAGGAGCCCCCGGTGGCACAGTGTGTTAAAGCACTGTGCTGGCAGGACTGAAGACCGACAGGTCGCAGGTTCGAATCCGGGGAGAGGCGGATGAGCTCCCTCTATTAGCTCCAGCTCCTCATGCGGGGACATGAGAGAAGCCTCCCACAAGGATGATAAAACACCAAAAATCATCCAGGCGTCCCCTGGGCAACGTCCTTGCAGATGGCCAATTCTCTCACAACAGGATCGGTTGCCCCTGACACGACCAACCGATTTGTGTAAATGAGTGGCATTCAGAAACTTTTCACTGTTGCCAATTTTTTCATGACCCCAACATTGAGCTAAGGAACCCCATTGGGGTGAGGACCCAGTTTAAGAAGCAGTGGTTTAGAGACACTGCAATTTAGTAAGACACTCCCTTGGCATTGCATTCTGGGGAAATCAAACTTGAAGGCAATTATGGGTGGTTACCAAGAGCACCCTCACTGTACAAAATAAGTACCATTACAAGTTACTGCATCCTTTGTAATTCATCAAAGCCAAGCTCCAATTATGCCTGTTGTAAGGGTTATGTAAGGACTGATTCATTAAAGTCTTTTGTGTATGCACTCTTTTCTTTCCAGATAGGCAGACTTTCTTTTGAAACATCTAAATATGGTTCCCTGCAGGTTTGATAAGTTAGTGAGACAAAGCGGAAGACCAACTTAAAAAAAAACACAACGTTAATCCACTGATGCTTATATGTGCAGTGATATTTGGGGGAGGGGAAGCATGCACTGACCTTTTGAAAATGTGCACACTATATAGAAGTTCATTTCTCTTAGACTCTTTCATAATACACCACTTTTTTTTTCATATGATGGCATTTGCTTCAAGCATTTCATCCACTTTGCATCTCTTAGGAATGTCTGACAGATGTTTGCCAGGTATACCTGCCTGTGCTGTGAAATTCCATTGATTACAATGAAGCATCCATTTGAGTTGAAAATGATCTTACTGGAATTCCAGCAGAGAAAAGGTTAGTTCCTTTTACACGACTCTTCTGTTCCTGTGGTTATGTCATTTCCTTGCTAACATTTGTCTTTGTTGAATGCCATCTTTAGAAGAGACGTGATCAATGCGTACATCTCAGCATACTCTTTTTGGCTTTGTGGCCCTTTCATGCCCTCCTTTGGAGATGCAGGACAGCATTGAAATGTATTCATTAGCCCGTGTTCTGCAAATAATCCATGACCTACTGGATGATAGTCTGTCAAACTGTCTTTGAATGCTTCTCTTCCTTGGAGACAGTGATTGCATGTTTACTTCATGAAATCAAGTTTATATTCTTTCCCCCTTAGCTTTAAACTGGAGTCTGAAGATACAACCTGCTTTCAAATAATATTTTCTGCTCCTTTTTAATGACTTCTGTTCAGCTAGTTGCATATATATAATATATACACACTAGCTCTACCCGCTCTGCGTTGCTGTGGCCAACTTTCCCTTCCTCTTCCTCTCCTTCCTTTCTCTCCTTGCTTCCCTTTTTTTCTTTCCTTCTCTCCTTCCTTCTCTTTCTCTTCCTTTCCTCCCCCACCCCCTTTCTTTCCCTTCTTCTTTCTCCCCTTTCTTCCTTCTCTCTACCTATTCTTGGACTGTAACTCCCAGTAGTTCTCCTGATCCATCTATCTACCTACCTATCTAACTGGAGGATTGTTGGGAGTTGCAGTCTAAGAATAGGAAATTGGAAATATGCAGGGATTGGGATGTTCTCAAAGAAATCAAAGGAGAAGAAAGCTTGCAGCTTGGAAGCAGTACATTTGGATCATCCTCCTCTCCTAAAGGGCCTTGTCTAGGGGATGCTGGGAGCTGTAGTTCAGAAGAGAGTGTAGTTATGCTACTCTGTGTGGGTTTTTGTGGCCAAGCAAGTCATTTTTGCACATGCGGTGTAGCATCTTTTTCCTTTTTTTGGCTTTTAAAGTGTCTTCTGCTGTGTTTTTCAGTGTTTTTATGAGTGATGGTCATTCATTGGCCTGATAGGTGTATTGTGTCCAAATTTGGTGTCAATTCGTCCAGTGGTTTTTAAATTATGTTAATCCCACAAACTAACATTACATTTATATATAACTAGCCATCCCCTGCCATGCGTTGCTGTGGCTCAGTTTGTGTATATGTGTATATATGTATATATTTGTGTATATGTGTATGTATGTGGTTTTGAGCATGAGTTGTAATGTATTTTTTTTGGCTTTTTATGTCTCTTCTGCTGTGTTTTCCAGTGTTTTTATGAGTGATGGTCACTCGTTGACCTGATAGGTGTATTGTGCCCAAATTTGGTGTCAGTTCATCCAGTGGTTTTTGAGTTATGTTAATCCCACAAATGAACATTACATTTTTATTTATATAGATGGGCTGGGATCCAAGGTTATTTATGAAATGCCCTGTGATATGTTTCTCTCTGCTTTTTTGTGATCGACAGGGGTGTCCCAAGACATTCCTCTGCCTGAGGAAAAGAACAATATGGTATTCTCCACTTCCTGTCCATATATATGTGTTACCTAGACTATTGTTTGAATCAGGTCAGCATTGGTAAAACAGCAACATCCTCCACCATGCTTTAGGATAACAGACCTGGTTAAGAGGCACATAACAGGAAGAGTGGTTTGCAGAGCTTTATCTTCTCCCTCTCTTCTATCATCTTTCCACTAGAAGCAATTGCCTCATTTGGACCTATTTTCTGCCTTCTGCTAACTGAATGATGGCCATCAGCTATATTGTAGTGTTTTTCTTATAGTGTAAAATAAGGTGAAGGGCAGAGTTGGAGAGAGACGTTAAGATCATAGAATAAGATGCTCCAGAAAGAGCAAATAACTTATACACACTTACCCCAGGGCCCTCCATTGTGGAAATACACCAGATCTGGTTGCGATTTGGTTTGGATTCATCAGACTTTATCACATGAGGCCAAAATAGCATTGAAGCTTCCCGCTATTAATATCTCCCTTTCTATTGATGCGCAAAACCCATCGATAGCTCATGTTCCCAACACCTATTTTGTGTGATGGGTCCGTTCTGCTTCTATTCTGGCATGTCAGCAGTAAATTGATATTAAAGGGTGAGATCCTCCTCCTGTGCCATTCTCCACACACATACACCGTATTCCTTCTGCAATAAACATATATGTTTTTAATTTCAGCCTCAAGATTGCTTCACAGGGTACTCCTTTGAACTGTCATTCCAGGTAATAGTCAGAAATATACTCAGCCTAATAATGCTACTGACACCAGAAAGTTGGTCTGGCTGCTGTCGGTTTTACCTTCATCCGAGTGGTCATTTGGATGAACAACCTTATTTCTGTATTGTTGAAGGCTTTCATGGCTGGAATTTATTTATTTATTTATTTATTTATTTTGTATTAAAAACATTGCATAAATTAGTATAAAACCGATAAAAATAGGAGTGCAGGTGGCTAAACATCTTTTGACCAAAAACGGGCAACAGCAATGGCATTGTCTGTAGCCTCCAACAATTCTTCCTCTGTACATGAAGCAGTGCATAGTGGACAAGCATACATATGCAGAGTTGTCTGTTCTGTTCCACAGTCACAAAAGGTGTGGGATTCTTTTAGATAGTGCCATTTTGCAAGGTTGTCTTTTGTTCTGCCCACTCCACTTCTGAGTCTGTTCAGGGACTCAGAAGTGGCTGAAATCACTGGGTTGTTGTAGGTTTCACCTGCATCTATGGCAATCATCCTCAGAGGTTGTGAGGTCCTCACAAACTCTGAGGATGCTTGCCATAGATGTAGGTGAAACGTCAGGAGAGAATGCTTCTAGAACATGGCTGTATAGCCCAAAAAACTACAACAACCCAACCTTATTTCTGTTAAGGTGGAGTGTGCTAATACTGACATATTGATATGCAAATATGCAAATATCTGCACAAAAAGAATAAAAATTCAACCCAAGAAAGAACTTGATGGAAATACTTCTCTTCCTTCAACTACTTTTGCCCATCGCTAACTATTTCCCCAATGACACAGGGAAGTAATGCCACATGCCTAAGAAAGAATCTGGATTTTCTGTAAAACTGCAGGATACAAGACAAGTCTGTGTTAAAATGAATAAAGCCTAAAGAACCACATTGTAGGAAAATTGTTGTGTATCAGGATCGCAGCTCCTATAAAGTGAGGCACTTCTAATAATCTTCATGATAATTAGAACTACGTGAAACAGGTTGGTGACTACATCTGAAGTTACAAAATTGGCAACAGGCAGCTGATCTAGTAGGCAATAGAATGGGAAGCTTGATCTGTGGTTCTGCACCAACCTCCCCTTTCTTGATAAAAGTTGTGCCCAGCTTTACTCCAATATACATGTCTGGCTATTACTCTCAACACAATGGGTGACAGAGAAGTTGTTACAGGGGTTACACAAAGCTGCAAGGAGCTGGAATGAGAGAATGAATGGCACAACAAGTCAGTGAAATTATTCATTTCTGACTAAAGACAGCAGGGCTGAAGAAAAAGTCAATATCCAATCAGCACTAGTACATGGAATGGGAAGGGGACACCATCTTGTTATTTGCCTCAGTCAGCAAAATGCTTTAGTCTGGACTTTCCCATATATACCTAATGGCTATATAGGCTTACAAAACTTGGCCACATTTTACCATGTAATACCTTAGCTACTAAAAATCAGGCACCCTAACAAATTTGTGAACATCCTGCGGTTCCTCCATTATGACATGATGGCAACAGTCCTGGACAGCAATGTTTCCCAAAGTGACCCATTTAAGGTGGAATCAGGTGTCAAACAGGGATGTGTTGTTGCCCCAACTTTATTTTCCATCTTCATAGCTATGATACTTCATCTTTTGGATGGGAAGCTTCCCACCTGAGTGGACAGATGGCAAGCTATTTAACTTCAGCAGACTGAAAGCGAAAACGAAGGTTACAACACCATCTGTTATAGAACTCCAATATGCTGATGACAACATCATCTGTGCGCATTCAGAAGCCACTCTAAACACATTCACAGAAGCATATGAGAAGCTCGGCCTGTCATTGAACATCGAGAAAACCAAAGTGCTCTTCCAGCAGTCACCAGCCAACCAATGACAGAAAAAAGCTTAATGGTGTAACATTAGAAAATGTTGACCATTTCCGCTACCTTGGCAGCCACCTCTCCACAAAAGTCAACATTAACACTGAAATACAATACTGCCTGAGCTCTGTGAGTGCAGCATTTTTCCGAATGAAGCAGAGAGTGTTTGAGGACCGTAGGGATACCAAGGTGCTTTTTAATAAAGCTATTGTCCTCCCAACCCTGCTATATGCCTGCGAGACGTGGACTGTCTACAGACATCACATGCAACTCGTGGAATGATTCCATCAGTGCTGCCTCCGGAAAATCCTGCAAATCTCTTGGGAAGATAGGAGGACAAATGTCACCGTGCAGGAAGAAGCAAAGACCACCAGCATTGAAGTGATGGTCCTCCTCCATCAACTCTGCTGGACCAGCCACATTGTCTGGATGCCCGACCACCATTTTTCCAAAGCAGTTGCTCTACTCCAAACTCAAGAACAGAAAACGGAATGTTAGAGGACAGGAAAATTTATTATTTATTTATTACAGGTACTTTTACCCCGCCCTTCTCAACCCCCGAGGGAGGACTCAGGGCGGCTTACAAAAAAGGCACAATTCGATGCCTATACACTTTACATAAAATATACAAAACCAAAGTTAAAAACAGTTATCACAATTAAAACAATCCACAACTAGTACATAACACATCATATAAAAATAATATAAAAACTATTCTCGTGCTCAGCGTTCCGTCTTTCAGAGTTCTATAGTTCTAATCCATTAATCATTTCCTAATCATCGTCAAAGTTCTTTCTTCATCTGCCCGATTGTCCGAATGCCTGGTCCCAAATCCATGTTTTCAGTTTTTTCCTGAAGGAAAGGGGTGATGTTGCAGATCTAATTTCCCTGGGGAGTGAATTCCACATGTGAGGGGCCACCACCGAGAAGGCCCTGCTCCTCATCCCCACCAACCTCACTTGTGATAGAGGCGGGGTCAAGAGCAGGGCCTCCCCAGAAGATCTTAGACTCCGGGGTGGGATGTAAAGGGAGATCCGTTCGGACAGATACACTGGGCCGGAACCGTATAGGGTTTTGTAGGTCAAAACCAGCACTTTGAATTGTGCTCAGAATTGGATCGGCAGCCAGTGGAGCTGACATAACAGGGAAAAGAGATTTAAAGATGGGCTCAAAGCCAACCTTAAAAACTCTGGCGTAGACATTGAGAACTGGGAATCCCTGGCCCTTGAGGGCTCCAGCTGGAGGTCAGCTGTGACCAGCAGTGCTGTAGAATTTGAAGAGGCATGAATGGAGTGCGAACAAGATAAACGTGCCAAGAGGAGGGTGCATCAAGCCAACCCTGACCGGGACCGCCTTCCACCTGGAAACCAATGCTCTCATTGCGGGATATGATGCAGATCCAGAATAGGATTCCATAGTCACCTACGTCACCTACGTACACTGACCTTGGGGGGACAATCCTACTCAGACAATGAGGGATCACCTAAGTAAGTAAGTAAAAGTAAGTACTAAATGCTGCAATGCATACACATTACACTTTCACCGTACTTCATTCTTGGGAAATGTTCTAGGGCTTTTTGATCTGAGAATTATTGAATTAATGTTTCCCTTTGAGTGAAAAAGCAAAGACTATAGTGTATTTATCCCATATGCATTAAGATGAACAACAACAAAAAAGTATTTTGCATGGCTTTACCCTGATGTTAAGTCAATGAGGTTATTAGATGCAAAGCTATATCTTAATTTCTTTGCTGAGGCAGTTTTGCCTCAGCAAAGGAAAAGGAGACTTAACTGGAAGTCAATGAATAATGATAGTTGCATGCAACAAGTTACTTAATTTAATGCATGTAAGTAGCATAATTTATTGACTTCCCGTTAAGTCTCCTTTCTCTCAGATGGATTCCAGGACTGGGCACAATACGGAAACCATGGTGAGTGAAGGAATTGAGTTTCAAAGCTTTCTCATTGTTTCAGTCAGTGCCACATATATTGTTGAAAGATAACATTTCAGCAACGAAGTGCTAGATTTAAAAATAATACATGACCATCATTATGTGTCTAAAAAGTTTGCATCGTTTTTGTTCTCCAGACAAGGTTGTTCTGCGGGGAATTTTCACCCCCTGACATATGCCAAATTATACAGAAGCTCATCCATCTAATTGCATATCATGTACAGTGACTTTTAGAAGTCTATTTTAAAGTGCCTAGTCTCACAGTAACCTTTAAAATAACGCTTCATCCAAACATAGCACTGCTTTCCCCCCTACCTGCTTCATATTCATGTCAGCTGCCTATGGCATCATCCTTCTCTTAAGTTTTGTTCTGGCTCATTACAGTAAGATTTCTTTGTTGTCACTTTTTCAAGGCTGCCCCAACTTTCAAACTACCTCACAATGAGAGCTGGCACTGTATGGCTTAAGAACCATGGGTGGCATGTGACCCAATTTCATGTAGCCTTTGTCCTGATTTCAAATGTCCACTATAACATATTGGCTCAGGTGACGACTAGAGTGAGACTGTTCCTTCTCTAGCAGCCCATAGAATCATAGAATCATAGAATCAATGAGTTGGAAGAGACCTCGTGGGCCATCCAGTCCAACCCCCCACCAAGAAGCAGGAATATTGCATTCAAATCACCCCTGACAGATGGCCATCCAGCCCCCACTTAAAAGCTTCCAAAAAAGGAGCCTCCACCACACTCCGGGGCAGAGAGTTCCACTGCTGAATGGCTCTCACATTCAGGAAGTTCTTCCTCATGTTCAGATGGAATCTCCTCTCTTGTAGTTTGAAGCCATTGTTCCGCGTCCTAGTCTCCAGGGAAGCAGAAAACAAGCTTGCTCCCTCCTCCCTGGGACTTCCTCTCACATATTTATACATGGCTATCATGTCTCCTCTCACCCTTCTCTTCTTCAGGCTAAACATGCCCAGCTCCTTAAGCCAGCTCCTCATAGGGCTTGTTCTCCAGACCCTTGATCATTTTAGTCGCCCTCCTCTGGACACATTCCAGCTTGTCAATATCTCTCTTGAATTGTGGTGCCCAGAATTGGACACAATATTCCAGGTGTGGTCTAACCAGAGCAGAATAGAGGGGTAGCATTACTTCCCTAGATCTAGACACTATGCTCCTATTAATGCAGGCCAAAATCCCATTGGCTTTTTTTGCCGCCACATCACATTGTTGGCTCATGTTTAGCTTGTTTCACACGTACTGCTCTCAAGCCAGTCATCCCCCATTTTGTATCTTTGCATTTCGTTTTCCTGCCAAAGTGGAGTATCTTGCATTTGTCACTGTTGAACTTGATTTTGTTAGTTTTGGCCCATCTCTCTAATCTGACAAGATCGTTTTGAATCCTGCTCCTGTCCTCTGGAGTATTGGCTATCCCTCCCAATTTGGGAGATAAAGAGGAAGTCTGGGAGAAAGTGAGAAAAAGAAGGTGACGGTGTACTGCCCAACTGTCCTGATTTGGCAGGGATTGTCCTTATGGGGGACATAATAATCATTTTTTTTATTCCATAGAAAATAAATTGGAATGAAGATTATTGTAGGAATGAAAGACTTGTCTAAACCTGTTGACAGTATATAGGAGATTCTGTGAATTGCAATTCAAAATTGTTATGTTTTCAAATTTGAATGTCCACTCTTGTTACATGTGAACCAATCCCCTTAAACTAGATTCCTGTTTGTGTCAGTGCTAAGTTTGTGTCTGACTGGACTAGGTTTGCTTGTTGTTGTTTATTCGTTCAGTCACTTCTGAGTCTTCATGACCTCATGGACCAGTCCACGCCAGAGCTCCCTGTCGACCATCACCACTTCCAGCTCCTTCAGAGTCCAGCCAGTCACTTCAAGGATGCCATCCATCCATTTTGTCCTTGGTCGGTCCCTCTTTCTTTTTCCTTCCATTTTCCCAAGCATCATTGTCTTCTCATTATATGGTCAAAGTACTTCATCTTGGCCTCTAATATCCTTCCCTTTAATGAGCAGTCGGGCTTTATTTCCTGGAGAATGGACTAGTTGGATCTTCTCACGGTCCAAGGAACTCTCAGAATTTTCCTCCAACACCACAGTTCAAAAGCATCTACCTTCCTCCATTCAGTTTTCCTTATGGTCCAGCTCTCACATCCATAGGTGACTATGGGGAATACCATTGCTTTAACTATGTGGATCTTCGTTGCCAGTGTGATGTCTCTACTCTGGGTTTGCTAGTATCCCAATTTGCTAGTATCCCAATTTGGAGGTCACAGTATCAGCTGTTTTGGTGCACATTAGGGCAATTGATAGGTGGTGGTTGAATGCTTACATAGTATACATAAACCCTTTAGCTAAATCTGAATCTTTACAGTCATTGCAGCTTTTGGGAGGCAGAGCTATATCTGTATGCATAGTATCTGGCAATGTGCACCTGAGTAAATTTCATCCATTGGTTGGGGGAAGACCTATCTGTTGAAGACCATTTTTATATTCGTTGGATCAATCCTGATGGGATTCACTGCTCCTGACAATCTTCCAGCTAGTTAAGTGATCACAACCTCCAGATACCATGGACATACAATTAAGTGAGGGCACTTCCAGCACTGCTGGTCACAGCTGACATCCAGCTGGAGCGCTCAAGGGCCAGGGATTCCCAGTTCTGAATCTCTATACCAAGTTTTTAAGGTTGGCTTTAAGCCCATTATCCCAGGAGCATCCACATTTTAAAAATGTGGATGTTCCCGGGGGCCCATCTACATACACCCCAGAAAGCATGCAATTTCTGGGTTCAGTATCCAGATGTTCTCCTAGAACGTTCTGTGAAAACACCAGGACATTGTAACCCCCTTCCCCAAATTATTGTTGTGTCAAGCTCATACCCCCTTCCCCATCTTTCTAGACCTTCTGACTGCAGAACCATAGTACAGTATGGATGGTAAAGATGTTCAAATTATTATACCATGCCATCATATGGTATCAACAACTTCTTTCATCACAGAGTAAAATGACTAAAAGGTCATATCAGTGGAAATTAGTGTATCTTTCCAGCACTGATAATGAAATTTTGTTTCATCATAGTTTTAATATAGGTCAAGCAAATGAGCTGGAGAAGATAATTAAATAGCATGATAGTTTACTTAAGGGGGGAGAGAAGGAGAAATAAAAAAATTAAAATTCATCCCGCCTGTGGTTTTGAAGAAGGTTTTTCATAATGATTGCCTTACTTCAGGGGCACAAACCCATGGGTATTGCCACAGTGCTGTGGAGTAAGGCCTAGAGCAATAAGCAAAAGAGAAAAAAAATTAACTAGGAAGAGACTGCAGCTAATAAATATTTGATCAGATACACAAATTCACACAGTTTGATCATGCCTAGAGGAATTTGCCATCATTTATTAACTCGTACAATGTAAATGTACAACTCCATGTTTCTGAAGAAACAGAACATTGCTAAAAGTCATTACCTTTTCTTTTTTCTTTCTCTTTCAACCTAGGATTTTGCCAAAAGTCACAAGCACCTGACATGCTGTCAGACGTCATGCTTATGGGGATGAAAGGAGGGAATCAAACAAAAGAAGCCACAAAGCCTCTTGCGGAAAGCAAATTATTGTTTCAACAGTATCCCAAACACAGCATGAGCATGCTTCATACAACCCTTTCTCTGCAGAAGGTGAGAAGGATGAAAATTGATGTAGACCAGTTGAGGGCCAAGCTGAATACATTTCTGCAATAAAAAGGAGCCATGAATGAGGACAAACACAAGCTCAACAACAGACTTGGAAGTACAAAGGCACAAGTTTACTAAACATTATAGTTGGTTGGCTTGGCATGAGGCATTGATCTGAGACTGAAGCAAGACACCGAATGGCCTAATGTATTTGGTTCTGTCTAGCCTCCTGATCCACATCAGGAGACAGCCAAGGAACTGCAACAGCGGAGCTACTTGGACATATAGCCACTGTATGCTGTATGACAACTCCTAACCTATACATTACCCATCATGCTTTACTCCCCATTAATCTGTAAGGAGTGTGTAATGAATCCCTTACCTTAGCTAGCTGGCAAAAGCCTAAGGAAGTGGGCCTGGTGAAGCCACGGCATCCATTTTAGAGAAGGGAGGCAGGGAGATGCCATCTTAGGTTAGGTTTGCCTTAAGGGGGCGTGTTCTAGTCTAGGAGGGAAAGTTAGAAGGCTAGGATTGGTTAAGAAGATGAGTGGAGCCTAAGTGGTCTGAAGGAAAAAGTGACTTTTAAACTGAGGCTTGCCTTCCCAGTTTGCCAGTTGGAGCTTGGAAAGGGTAGAGAGAAGATGTTGGGTGTTAGTGAGAGCAGTTTGGGTTTTTGAGGAAGAATTTTTTGGGACAGTCTTTGGTCTAGTATTCAGAGTAGCTATAGAAACATATAGCTAGAATACTGTGTGGAGCAGCACTCCGTTAGTGGTCTGTTCTTTTCCAAAGGAAGGCTAGTTCAGGTTTGTGGCTAGTTTCCTAAGGGGGATTTATTGTGGGAATTATGTTCAAAGATTTATTTCCTGAAGTAATACTTTTTGTTGAAACATTAAGACTTGTAACCCAGAAGTTTTTAAGATCTTTTCTCAAATGCAACCACAAGTTTTTATACCAGTATTTTACTGAAACCATTAAGCATTTGTACCTGAATATTTCAAGCCTGTTCAATAAACATTCTTGTTATTTTTATCAACTTATACCAGACTCAGTGTGAATGCCTTTGTGATCAAAGTGTTATTCAAGTCAGCTTTTAATAGCTTCTAAAATAACTGTAGTGACACAGAGTATGTTACTGAACAACCTCTCAATAATACCTCAGCCTGTCTAGTATTAATATGGTGGCAGCTGAAATCTTTTAAGGAATCATTTTAAGTCTCTCAGTTCTGTGGTTCCCAGTTCCTAACTTTTAAATATTTTGTGGGTTCAAAAACTATACTCTCTATATATTTTGGTGAGCTAGTCTCTAGTGGTGGTGTCATCGTTATATTTTGGTGAAGCAGCGAGTGATTGGGGTTTATTTCATAAATACATTTCCCCGTCAAAGAATTTAATTTTAAAATCTTTCTATTCTCTCTAGTGCTCGGCTGCTGTGTTCATTATAGGGTGCCTAATGAGAAAGATGAGTTCACAGCCTTACCCACAAACTGAATCTTACCTCATGCTTCCTTACTACACCACACTGTAGCATTCTTATAGCTGCAACTAATAACAGTATTCAAATGCATCATGTTCACCTTCAGGTAGAAGGAAATTTATTTATTTTATTTATTTGAAATGTTCAAATGTGAAATTGGGCACACTCATTTGGCTACAACCAAGCCCCCAGTCTCCTTGCTAGCCATCCTCCTAGTATTGTCAGTCTACCGAGGATCCTTAGCCTCATGCTGGAAACATTGCTCTAGCAAATCTGGCCAAAGTAATGTAGTAAGGGAAGCAGCGAAATAGCACTTCTTTGCTGCTTGGATCAAGTCCAGACTCTTGTGGGAGTTGAGGTCCCTCTCAGGGCACATCCAGACAGCTATTTTATTGCAGGAGTTTCCACAATAAAAAGGGGACTGTCCAGGTGACATCCTGGACAAACCCGAATTAATCCGCCACAATCCCCCTAAACCAGATTCCTGTTTGTGTCAGTGCTAAGTTTATGGCAAATTAATTTGACAGTGGGTTTATTCCATGCCTTCTTGCAGTCCAGACAGTATTCCCATGGTTTTCCGGGCTAAATTAGCCCAGGAAACTTTGAGAATACCAACCCCCTCTCCAAAAGCCCCCCAAAACAGTGTAAGTAAACTATCATGCTATTTAATTATCTTCTCTAGCTCATTTGCTTGACCTATATTAAATCTATGATGAAACAAAATTTCATTATCAGTGCTGGAAAGATACACTAATTTCCACTGATATGACCTTTTAGTCATTTTACTCTTGATGAAAGAAGTTGTTGATACCATATGATGGCATAGTATAATAATTTGAACATCTTTACCATCCATACTGTACTATGGTTCTGCAGTCAGATGGTCTAAAAAGATGGGGAAGGGGGTACGAGCTTGACACAACAATAAGTATGTGTATAAACAGATTCCATTTATTAATTTAAAATATTCCTGTTTTCCCTCATATTGAAAGATCTCTGGGCAGCTTACAATAAAATCGCCTGAACAATTTAATATGCAGTACAATAAAACTTAAAATGTTGAAAATGTTTTTTAAAATATTAAAACATAAAGAACTGCACAATTTAAAAAGTTTATTTATTTATTTGCAATATTTATTTATTTATTTAAAACATTTCTATGCCGTCCTTCTCAACCTCCGTGGAGGGACTCAGAACGGCTTCCAACAGCAAAGATTCAATGCCATACAATGTAAACACATTCTAAAATGACATACATAATAAATAATTATAAAATTCATATACCACCCTTCTCAACCCGGAGGGGACTCAGGGCGATTCACAGTGTTGGCAGCAATTCAAGTTGAACTCATAATCAATACGAAACTATGTATATGCACACATGGATTTAAAGACTTTTTCTTTTCTTTTTTTAAAAAAAATATTTTTATTTGGCAACAACATCTGAACAAAACCAACTGTTCTCAATAGGCTCCCTAAGGAAGGGCCTTCCCCAACTTGGGTGCCATGAATGAGAAGGTTTCCAATGTTTTCACACAGCTCCTTTGTGTGGGACTTGGAGGATCTCATTTCTTAGGCAGGAAAATAGTGGGAGACACAGTCTTTCAGATATTGAGATTACAACCTTTTTAGGACTTTAATAACATTATCAGCACCTTGTCCATCCACAGCACTACCTTTCCTTGGTGGTGGGATTGCATACTCCTGTGAGGGAAGAGGTTATGCTGAAGCTAGCACTGTTGATGGTAGGGTCTCCCAGGTGAGACAGGGTGTTTTTTGTTGTTGTTGTGGAGTCAGACTATGAATATCATTTATGGTAATTTTATTGATGTCTATTTTTATTTTGAAATTTACCAGTATATGCTCAGTTTCCCACCCTTGGCTTATTTATTTATTTATTTATTTATTTATTTATTTAGAATTGTATATCCCGTTCTTCTCTACCTCTGTGGAGGGACTCAGAACGGCTTACAACAGACATGATAAATAAATTATAAAATATATATAAAAGACAGTTTGCCAAGTTAAAAACATTATTCAACTCAATCCATTGTGATCCAATCACTCTTAGTCTTCACCTGTGCAATCCATCTAATCTGTGAATGCCTGATTGGTGAGTATCTATGTTATTGATGTGGGCACCATGGGATGCCAATTTGTTAGCCGTCCTGAGTCCCTCTGCAGAGGTTGAGATAGGACGAGATATAAAAGCCTGAAAAAATTAATAATAATAATAAATTCTCCAAATAGAAGCAATCAAGCTTTCATATTAGAAGCTCGGCTGGCATTTCAAGCTTCCAATGCCTTTTATCTGCAAATTGTGTGTTTTTGTAAAGCAGGGTGCAGAGTCAGGGAGATGACCCTTTTACATTTAGAGCAACCTCAGGGACCATAAGCCCACCTATTTGCTCTCTAAGTGATTTTTGCAATAATTTGCATACAGTCAAGTTCCTTGAGTAGTCTTTTATGCACCAGGTAAAAGCGGTCTTGTTTAGCATTGCTATTTGTGTCAATAGTTGGTCTTGTATTAATTAGTAGGTTTCATTATTAGTGAGTTATTAAGCATTCTTCCTGGAGGCAGTGGTTGCCTGTTATGGTCTGTGGCTTCCTGACACGGCATTGATTACACCTGCTTCAAGATATGGGCTTGTTTTTATTTGGTGCTGTTACTACGCCTGTTTATGTGTTGTTGTTATTGTAATGGCTTTTTTATTTCCTTGGGAGCAGCCTCGAGTCATGCTGTGTGACAGAAAATGGCATTAAGGAAAGGAAAGGAGTGGAAAGGAAAGGCTCTCATCTGCATGTGCATGGCTTTCACAGGGCTACCTTTGCATCATTTCAAGTGTTGTTGCAGAAGAGTGGTTTGGAGACAGTAATTAATGAGCAAGTGATGCTTCAAATGTCGCTGCTGTGTTAAACTTAGCCAGTAGCCATAAGCAAATCACCGTCCCTTTCAGCCACTCTCCACCACTCCCTTCAGCTCTTGTTCTGCAAACAGTGGTCAATCTGATACCATACCATCACACTGGCTCACTTTGAAGCACTAGGTATATGCTATGTTCTTGTTCCTAGAATCATAGAACCATAAAATATCCCTAAGAGATGGTGAGATGACACGCCAGGAAATACAGATAGGGACTTTCAGGCAGGAGGGATCTATATTTTATTATCCCACGACTGCCACCATTAAATATTGGAACATAACCACCAAAAATGAATTGTGCAATGAGGAGAGTAAATTGTAGAAATATGTGTGTAGCGTAGCTGTGGTTGAGCACTTTATTGTATGTATGTATGTATGTGTGTGTGTGTGTGTGTGTGTGTGTGTGTGTGTATATATATAGATTGTTTGGGTGAGGCTTGCGATAGAAACTAGTATGAGGCTTGAGATGTGAGTGGCTGATATGAGGCTTGTGATAAGAGAGGTTTGACTCTTTAAAATATTTTGTCTGAGACACTTTAATATGTGTAACCCAATATGATAAACTGAACCGTGTTCCAAAATATCTTCAGCCATCTTCTTTGAAGTAAATCTTCACTTCAGGAACTTGACACAAGTCTTTGTTGTAAGAAATTGAACAAAGAAATATTTATTTAAGGATTCTCAGGCACACAAAGCTTAGTGATTACACAGTAGTTCTTCTCAGTATTCTTTCGTTATAGTTACAGTTAACTTTTATTATCATGAACTCTTGAAACAGTTTCCATATAACTTCCTGAATGGCTCATCTTCTTGCCAGACTGATTCTAGTAATCTCCTTTACTTTAAATGTTATTCTTTCTTAGCCTTCTGACTGGGTAAATGTAATCCTGTAGTTTC